AAAAAACACCTTTTTTTTTTTTACTGTGGAAAATGTTAAATATGTAAACAATAGAAAGAAGAGCTTCAAAAGATGTAAGCATGTACCTATCACCTAAGCCCCAAAATGCAACCAATGGCTAATGCTGCCTCGTTCATAACCCCATCCTTTTTCCCCTTCGCACATTATTTTGAAGCAAATCCCAGATAGCATCTGATTTTATATGTAGATATTTTAGTCTATCTCTCTAAAAGAGATAGACATTAAAAAACCACACAATACCATTATCATGATTTAAAAATAACAATGATTTCTTAATATAAAATATCAAGTTAGTATTCACATTTCCAATAGAGTTATTAATGTTACTTTTTTTTCTTTTTTACAATTTATTTCATTGAGGAACTATATTGTGTTAGGTTGGTATATCTTTTAAGTCCTCTGTATTTTTTCTCTTTGTTTTCCCAGTAATTTAAAATTTTTATTTAGGGATCTAGGTTGTTGGTCCTATAGTTTTTGCCACAATCTGAGTTTTGTCAGTGGCATCCCTGCAGTGTACTTTAACACATTCCCTTATCTTCTGTACACTGGTAGTAAGTCTAGATGTTTTATCAGATTCAAGCTGAATTTTTTGGCAATATATCTTCATAGGTGGCCATGTATTTTTCCATGAGGAGACACACAGTGTGTGCTTGTTTGTCTTTGTAGTGTTAACTGCCATCCTTATACCAATGTTAAATGCCTGGATCAATTCATTCATTAGGAATTTTAAAATGGTGATATAATTCTATCAGTCTTCATTTATTATTTGCAATGTTTCTACAAAGGGAAATCGCCCCTCATTAATTATGTGATTACTGAGTGATTTAGTTTAAGTAAGAAAGCAGGATAAATACTTGATTCTTGCCCTTTTACTAAATATCTCACTACCCTGTCTACTGGTCTCATTTTCAACCACTACCATCCTGATCAAAAATCCTTAACCTAAGCTCAAGATCTTGAATTACTAGTATCTGAGTCATCTTGTAAGGTCCTGAATGACGTTGCCCTGCTTATTTCTCCAGTCTCATCTTATGCCACTTTCCTCCTTTTCTCACTATATCCAAGCCACACTGACCTTTTTTCATTTCCTAAGCCATCCGGCTCTTTCCCATTTCAGGGCCTTTGCACGTGACCCTTCTCTTTAATAAGCTTTTTTCCAACTTCCCCTTCCCTTACTAACTCTTATATTGCTTTTTAAAATTTTAATTTAATTAAAAAAATTTATTTTTCACTTACAGTTGACATTCAATATTGTATTAGTTTCAGGTGTACAGCATAGTGGTTACATAACTTACAGAGTGATCTCCTTGATAAGTCTTACACCCACTTGACACCATGATAGCTATTACAGCATTATTGACTATATTCCCTAAGATGTACTTACATCCCTGTGATATTTTGTAACTGCTAATTTGTACTTAATCCCGTCACCCTTTTCACCCATCCTTCCAAACCCCCTTCCACCTGGCAACCATCAATTTGTTCTCTGTATCTATGAGTTTGCTTCTGTCTTGCTTGTTCATTTATTTTGTTTTTTTTAGATCCCACATATAAGTGGAATCATATGGTATTTGTCTTTGTCCAACCTATTTCACTCAGCTCAATACCCTCTAGGTCCATCCATGTTGTTGCAAATGGTAAGACCTCATTCTTTTTTATGGCTGAGTGATATTCCATTACGTATATATATATATATATAATTATATATATAACATTACATATATGTATATATGTAATGGAATCTTCTTTATCTATTAATTTTTTGATTGGAGCATTTATTCCATTTACATTTAAAGTAATTATTGATAGGTATATAGTTATTGCCATTTTATTAATTGTGTTCTGATTGTTTTCGTAGTTCTTCTCTGTTCCTTTCTCATTCTCTTGCTCTATTGTATGTTGATTTTCCGTAGTTTTACGTTTAGATTCCTTTCTCTTTATTTCCTGCACATCTCTTGTAGATTTTTTATTTGTGGTTACCATGTGCTTCATATATACCAAGCTATGTTTACAGCAGTCTATTTTAAGTTGATGGTCACTTAAGTTCAAACACATTCCATAATCACTAGCATTTTCACCCACTTTCTCCGTGTTCCTGTTTTTGTCATTATTTTTTTATTTCTTTTGTGTATGTGTTTGTTTGTGTGTATCCCTTAATTTACTGTTGTAATTACACATGATCTTCCTACTTTTGCCTTTTTATCTTCATACTAGCTTTAGTGTTGGCTGATCTACTGCTTTTATATGTGTTTGCGTTTGTCAGCGATAATTTTTTCATTGTGATATTTTCTTATTCATAGTTTTGATTTTCTTTTTTCTTCTTAAAGAAATCCCTTTAACATTTCTTATAGTAATGATTTGGTGGTGATGAACCTCTTCAGCTTTTTCTTGTCTGAGATTACATTACTTTCTTAAGGAAGACTAGACTGGTATTCCAATTATAACTTCTCATATCACCTTTTAGTTATCCTTCATAGCACATCTCATAGTTTGTATTTATGCTTTTTATATGACTTTGTTTAATATTTGCCTCTCCACATAAGATCTATGAAGGCAGGGACCATGTCTCTTTTGGCACCATTTTTTTATCCTAAACTTAATACTTGGAAATACAGGCATATCTTGCTTTATTGTGCTTCATTTTATTATGCTTCTCAGATGTTGTGTTTTTTTCAAACTGAAGGCAAGACCCTGCACTCACAAAAAGATTATGACTCACTTTATTGTGAGACTTGCTTTATTCTGGTGATCTGGAACAAAACCTGCAAGATCTCTGAGGAATGTCTGTATAATATGTGTACAAAAATAAATGTTGACTTGAATAACATTGAATTGAAGTCAGATTGGGGGAAAATACAATACTTTGTCTTGATTTGTCTAGAGTAAAGATAACTAACATTTACTGAGTATATGGTATTGTTCTAAGTTATAATATTCACAATATAATATTCTAACAGTATGTAGTAGATATGATAATTGTCTCTCCTTGACAGATAAGGAAACTGAAGAGAGGTTAAGCCATGGCCCAAGCTCACATAGATAGTAAATAACAGAGTCAGGGTTCAAATCTAAGCAATTTGGCCCTAGAACCTAAGGCATCGAGTTAAAATCCTAATATATTGCAATCTGTAGGAATATACTATGCAAAATCTACATTGGAGAAGAACTGACCTTAATTCTTTGAGTCCTAAATTGAAAAATCCCAGAGAAGGGGCTTGTTGACTTATCTCAGGTTGAGTACTCATCCATAAACCAATTAGCTGGAATCAAGGGATGGGCACTATAAGCACGTCACATCCATGCCGGATATGTGGATGCTGAGAGGCAGTTTCTAGGAGAATGGACCATGCCAGGCAGACAGTCTCAGAGTAGAGTATACACGTATTTCTTCCTGTACATCCAATTTCATAAAGTCCCTTTAACATAATGTAGTTTTCCCATATAGAACAACAGATACCTTGCCTCCTCAATGAGAAACTATTCAAAGATATCACTAGCTACTACAGTCATCTCTGATTCCCAGAATCTGTTGATCACATCTGGATGTGCTTGCATACAATTTTGCAACCTATGGGCTAAATGACAAATTTAATGACCCTCATAACAGTAGAGTTACGATCTACTGCAAAGGTTCTAAAGTTAGCTCTTGGGGGCAATTACCTTGGGGGCAATGGTAGCCTCCAAGACCGTTATTAGGCAAAGCTATCCCAGTGGCCACAGAAAAGAAAGGCTCATCAGCGAAACTAAGAAGCTCAAATCACACAGTTTATTGGAAAAATTTAAAACACACAACAAGCAGTAAAGGGAAAGAGGTGAGGTAGATTAACACATTTTGGATGATTTAGAAATGGAGTGGAAGAACCCTACTACCTGAATCTGGATTATACAATGTCCCACAGACCAAAAGTGCATGCAGCCAACATACACACTTGTCTATTGAAAAGATGCAGGGGCAGGTGTGCCTGGCAAATAGCTATATCTCATCAATTAGCCTGATGATTAGCTATGGATTTCATCTACGTTTCTTGGGCAGAGGGACAAGTGAGCCAGAATGGTATCATTTATGTGTGGCTGATTTTAGACCATATAAATGTCGAATGCTTAATGTGCCTCATGTATATTTAGTGAATCAGGCATATTGGTACGTCTTGGTCCTTCCCTTTCTATCTAGTTCAGAACATGTATGCCCCACTTATTTTTCTATCTCTCCAACATACCTCACATGCCATTTGCTTCTATACTCAGTTTCATTGAGCCTCTTTATTTTTTATCATCTACAGTAAAATTGAAAATTCTTAAATAATACAACTAGCACATGTTACACACTTAAAAATCATGGATAGTCAAAATTTGAAGATCTCTTAAATCACCCATAAAACACAATATTTAGTATTTATAAGCCATGTTGGAGACTGACATGCTGTCTCCCAAAAGTTCAACTCAGTGGGTTTTCCCTCCAGTGTTGGAACAGATTGCTTGCTCTTCTATTGAACATTAGAGGAAATTGTTGGCTTAGGGTCTCTAGGCTTGCACCCAGATTTCTAGGTGTCCACTCCGTGAGAAGTGTCCAGAAACTAAGACCAACTGAGGAAGTGACAGACTTATGTCTTCCATCTCCTGCTCATTAAGAGCACTCACTTACCACGTAAAATGATGCTCATACTTCTCTCTTCAAGACCACTTGAATTCACATGAACTAAATGTGTATATGTTGTTCTTCTAGAGTACAACTAATATAAAATGATGAAAGATAAACAATAGATCCATAACTTAAAAAAAACCCTTTTAGAAAAGAAGGAAAGCAACACATAGTGGTAACTGGTACAGATCTTCTTTTGCTGTAGGAGGTGAGTAAAATAAATCACAGGACCAGCAAATTTCATAGGAGTGTGTTTGTTAAATCGCTTAAAAATGGAATGAGTTCAGTATTTCTGCCCCAGGGTATGTCTGAGAGAATTTTCCTTGTTTGTTTCCCACAGGGCCATCCCTGAAAAAGAGCTTGGAGTAGATTTCTCTGAAGAGGATTTGACTATTTCAACAGTGTACTTTCTGTTGGTGAATGTGAGGTCAGACACTTAAGTTCACAAATTCATCCTAGAAAAAGTGCTATGTACTTCATTGCTGAATATCACTATGGTCACCTTCAAAGTATTCCCCTTGGGAAGCTATGCACTGATGCCAGTGCCTAGTCCATCCTTCAAAGGAATTTTGGAACTCTTTCTGGAATGGCCATCAGAGCTGTCATCATATTACCCTTGATGTCCTGAATGTCATCAAAATGTCTTCCTTTCAATATTTCCCTTATCTCCAGGTAAAGAAAGAAGCCACTGGGGGCTAGATAAGATGACTGGGGAGGGTGTTCCAACACAGTTATTTGTTTACTGGCTAAAAACTCCCTCACAGACAGCGCCATGTGAGCTGGTGCATTGTCATGATGTAAGAGCTATGAATTGTTGGCAAAAAAGTTCAGGTTGTCTAAGTTTTTTATGCAGCCCTTTTAGTACTTCCAAATAGTAAACTTGGTTAACTGTCCAGTTGGTACAAATTCATAATGAATAATCCCTCTGATATCAAAAAAGGTTAGCAACATTGTTGCAACAAGTTGGCGAACCGAATTGTCAGACCTCATACATTTGGGATGGGGCTCTGCTTAAGGGTTGAGCAATAATCACAGCTCACTTTGCAAGGATTGAGTTTTTTGTTGTTGTTAGTTCTTTAAGACTTTAGTTAACTGCCTATTGTTTTCATTTGAAGGGACACTGTTTTTTTTTTAAAGATTTCTTTATTGGGGGAATTGGGGGAGGGAACAGCGTTGGGGAATTGGGGAAGGGGAACAGACAAGTTGCTGTCCTTTTATTCTTCAGTCTAGTTGTGGAGGTCGTCACTTCACTGGCCCATGTTGGTATTGTGATCACTGCACTCTTCAAGGCTGAGGCAGATTGGTCGCTGGACATTGGATGGCCACTCATGGCGGCTCACAGCAGCTCACGCTGGTTGCCGGTCACTCACGGTAGCTCACGGCAGCCCACTGCAGCCGCCCTGCAGCCTACACCATCGCTGGTGACTACAGCAGCCCAGCTCCAGGTCGTGCTCCTAACCCAACTCTTAACCAACGAGCCACTCGGCCGGCCCGGCAGTGTTTGTTAATTACCCAATCCAGAAATCATTTGTGTTTAGGAGTATGATATAATGATTTGCCAAACTTGTTACAAATGGCCATCTTTGAATCAATAAAATATTGCCCACTCATCGGTAATAAAGAAATAGGACTCTCGCTGTAGCCGTCTAGCTGCGGAAAAATTGTTCCCAATTGACTTAAGTGTGTTCCTAATGCTGGCTGGTAACCATACTACATTTTCCTAGCCAATTTATTATTTTACTTTCCTTGATGACTGTTTCCTAACATCTCTTCTGTCATGTTCTCTAGTCTCACTCACAATTGATGAATGCCATAACATTAATTACCACAAATGTAATGGCTTAAAACAACACAAATGTATTATCTTAGAGTTCTGTAGGTCAAAAATCTGACACAGATCTCACTGGGCTCAAAATTAAGGTGTCGGCAGGGCTGTGCCCTTTCTGGAAGCTTAAGGAGAGAATCCCTTTCCTTGTCTTTTCCAGCTTCTAGAGGCCACCTGCATTCTTTGGCTCATGGTCTCCTTCTAAGTATAAAGGCAGCAACTCTCTGACCCTTTTTCCATTGTCACATGTTACTCTGACCCAATTTTCTGATTCTTTCTTCCGCATTTGTAGTAACAGCTGCGTTTAGATATAATTCACATACCATGCCAGTCACCCATTTAAAGTATACAATTTGATGGTTTTAGTATACTCATGGAATTGTGTTTTTCACCACAACCAATTATAGATCAGTTTTCATCCTCCCCCAGAGAAATGCTTGTACTCTTTAGTAATCACCTTTCATTCTCTCCATCCCCAAACCCTGGCAACCACTAATCTACCTTCTATTTCTATGGATTTGCCTATTCTGGACATTTCGTATAAATGGAATAATAAAATATGTGCTCTTTTGTGCCTGGGTACTTTCACTTAGCATGTTTGCAAAGGTTCATCTATATTGTAGCATGTTTCAATATTTCATTTCCCTCTTCCACTTTCAAGGACTCATGCAATTAGATTGGGCCTACACAGATAATCCAGCATAACCTTCCTATCTGAAGTCATTATCCTTAATCACATCTGCGAATTCCCCTGGGCCATGTAAAGTAACAGTCACAGGTTCCAAGGATTAGGACCTGGACATCTTTGGGGGGCCATTACTCTGTGTACCACATGACCACCCTTCCTATTTCAGAGAGAAAAGAAAAGCACTAAGAAGGGAATTGACAGAATTTATTGCCACATCTTATCCCACTCCCCTGTGTGTGGATCCAGGCACTCTGCCTTCCCTCTTGTTAGGGTAGTTGAAAAACTTATGCTCCCAGTACTTCCTTTCAGAGACTGTCTCTTCCTCTGCTGCTAGCAAAAGCCACACTGCCACTTGGCGCCATGCCCTACGCTTCCTAGTCAGTGACATTGATGGAGCTATTCTACCTCCTCTCTTCTGCATTATCATTTCCCCCCTCTTTCTAGATCATTCCAAAAGAATAAAAAGAACTTGTAATTTCTCTCTTTTTAAAACAAAATCCTTTCTTGACCCTTCTTCCCACTCCTGCTATTGCCCCATTTTTTTGTTCCTGTTTACAACAAAACTTCCTGAAGATTTATCTATATTCTTTCCAATTCTTCTTTTCTTTTTGTTTTTGCATAAATGTACATAACATAAAGCTTACCATTTTTAAATATACAATTCAGTGGCACTAAGTACATTCACAATGTTGTGCAACCATCACCATGTCTAGGACTTTATAGAACTTTTCTAAAACATTTAAATCATCTGTTGTAAAACAAATTCTTGCCTATGAAACAATACTCCCATTCCCCACCCCTATCCCAGCCCCTGGTAACCACCATTTTACTTTTTGTTTCTATACATTTGACTAGTCTAGGTACCACATATAAGTGAAATCATGCAATATTTTTCTTTTTTCTTTTGTTTAGCTTATTTCACTTAGCATAGTGTTTTCAAAGTTCACTCATTTTGTAGAATATATCAGCATTTTATTACTTTTTAAGGGTGAATAATATTCCATTGTATGTATATACTAAGTTGTGTTTATCCATTCATCTGTTGGTAGACACTTGGTTGTTTCCACCTCTTGGCTGTTGTGAATAATGGTATTATAAAGGTATATGTTTGAGTGAATTCTCTTAAATCCATTCCAGTTAGGCTTTCACTCCTATTGCTCTAGTCAAGGTCACCGATTACCTCTGGGTTGCTAAACACAATGGTCAATTCTCCATCCTTTCTTAACTTAGTGACATTTGAGTGAATTGGTCATTGTGTCTTTCATGAAATATTTTCTTCACTTAACATCCAGGACACCAGTACACTCTCACAGGTTTCCTCCCACCTCACTAGCTAACTCTTTCTTAGCCTCCTTTGCTTATCATCTGCACTGCCCCCAACTCAGTCTTTGGACCTAGTCTCTTTTATCTGTACTTACCTCTTTGGTGATATCATCTAGTCTTATGACTTTAAAATATGCTGACAACTTCCAAGTTTATGTCTCCAGTCTGGAACTCTCCTTTCAATGTCAAACTCCAGTGATCTACTTGACATCTCTGTTTGAATATCAAGTGGGCATCTTTGATTTAACATGTCCCAAAACGAATTCCTGGTCATCCTTATCCTCCCCATGAATATCCAATCCTCTCAGTTATTTCTTAACTAATTGGATGGATCTCTAGCCTTCTAATTGCTTAGGCAAAAATCTTAAATCATCTTTGATTCCTCTGTTTCTCTCCCACTCCATATTCAGTCCATTAACAAAACCTGTCGGCACTTCAAAATATATATAGAATTTGAACATTTCTCAAATAGGCAGAGAAAGACAAACACCGTAGGATCTTGCTTATATGTGGAATCTTAAAAACAAACAGCAAGCTCATAGGTACAGAAAACAGATTGGTGATTGCCAGAGACAGGGGCTTAGTGGGCATAATGGGTGGAGGGGCTCAAATGGTACAAACTTCCAGTTATAAATAAGTCATGGGGATATAATATACCACATAGTGACTATTAATAACACTGTATTGTGTATTTGAAAGTTGCTAAGAGAGTAGATTTTTTTTTAAATTTTATTTATTTTTTTTTTAGCTGAGCCATCCTGCTACCTGTTGGCAGCTCAGTGGCTGCTCAGCGTGGGCTGGACTCGAACCGCTGTTGCTCAGAGCTCAAACTCTTGAGCGAGCTCTTAACCAACTGAGCCACTCGGCCGGCCCGGGAGAGTAGATTTTAAATATTTTCATCATAAGAAAAAAATTTGTAGCTATGATGGTGACAGATGTTAACTAGAGTTATTGTGGTCATCTGCAATATATACAAATATCAAATCATATTATATGTCAATTATATCTCAATTTAAAAAACCTGTTGGCACTTCAAAATATATACAGAATTTGACCATTTTTCACTATCTTCACTGCTACTGCCCTTAGACAAGTCACCAGCATTTCTTGCCTGAATTAGTTCCATAGCCTTCTAACGAGTCTCCCTAAGTCTGCTCTTATTTTTTTTCAGTCAAATGTTATCCCAGTAGCAGAGTGACTCCATTAAAATGCAAGTTTCTCATGTCATCCCACTACTCAAAATCCAACACAGGCTTTCCATCAAACTCAAAGTGAAAGGCAATGTCCTGGCAATGGCCTACAAGGCCCTACACAACCCGGGCCCTCGTTAGTTCTCCAACCTTACCTCCTACAGTTCTCTACTTCACTCTCTTCTCTTTAGCCATCCTGGCCTCACTTGCTTTTCTCAAACACACCTGGTGCACCTGCACCTCAGGGTCTTTGTACTTTCTATTTCCTTACTCCCTCATTGCCTGTGAGAACGTTCCTGATAACACTACTTAAAATTGCAACCCTGCCAGCATTTTACTTTCCTTCATTGCAACTGTCACCTTCTAAGATACAATATAATTTACTTATTTTGTTTATCATT